CTATACCTGGTAGCTGCACTATAGCTACCCTGGGTCTCTATACCTGGTAAGGTGCCAACTACACCTTTCCATTCAGATGATGCAAATGATGCATTTGGCATTTCTTGCATCACCACCGCTCAAAAATCACCTCCAACACAACCTCGAAAAACCTTCCCTCGAAGCACCCTCCTCCCCCAGCATGTGCCGAGTTTACGTGTACCTTTCCCGGGCCACCCCCCCAGACCCCCTAACTACTCACTTCGTTCGCCAGACACAACTCCGCTAGCGCCTTCTACGAAGGCTGGCTTTCGTAACAGATAGTTACCATGTGGTTTCAGAGTAGACGGTTACAGTGGTCCAAGTAGACGGTGGTGCAATGATGGACCTCGCTGAGTCCTAAACGGTCCACCGTCGGTCCTCGAAAAGAATTCGTTGAAGGACCTGACGCGAACCCACAAAAAATGGGGGCGCCTTAGTAGGGGAAAGGTCACACCTCCCCTGGAATCATCAACTCGTGTGCCCCCGAACCCCCAAAAAACAGGAACGACTGGATCCATTTTTTGGGGGAGGGGGGCACGAGATGGCACGGTCGGCGACGTCGACGACACACTCCGCCCGGTTGGACGAAATGCCTCGCTCGGTTGGAACGGATGGCATTCGAGTGAGGCGTGTCGTCTCTGTTGCGTGACTGCACGATGGGTCGACTTGGCGAACAGCGCGGCGAAGGGTTTGGTTTGGACCGTCGATGTCAACGACGCGACGTCCGGGAGAATGCACGGCAGTATGTATGGCGGGGGGTCCCACAGTCCAAGCAACTGTGATGCCTGGAATTGGAAGACCGGCCAAAGAGTTCGGTGGACCTGGTTTTACTGTATCTATATAAAATCTAAACTCCTTAGTTCAAACAATTCTTCCAATTTGGTGCCTCTTGCCAATCCCTGCATCAGATCAACCAGGTCAGGTTAGCAGTTTTTGCATGGTGAGAACATCGGTGAAGTGACTAAGTTACAGGCCAAAAAGAGTGAGGCAAACAAAGACACGATGGGCGACCAGGTTCACTGGTTCACTGCCGCTGCATTCCTGGCTAGACCTGAGTGACTACAACTACGACTGGATCTCCTTTCACACCTGGAGCGCCGAGTCGCTGCGACAAGGGGGAGATGACAAGTGGGCTGGGCTGGCCTCATGAGGGAAGGCCGTGTATCTCCCACTGAACATGGAAAATGCTGCTTCATTCCATGCTGTACAGCAAAATACCCTCCGCCCTGCCAGTTGCATTCGGGGTCACCAGTTGGTTTCCATATGGAGTTGGGTAGTCGCGAGCAGACTGGACCCTTGATTTCAGTCCAACAGGTGTTTCATGCATTAGTCAGCACATGGCCTAGATGTTCCACTCATTTTGCCTCAATAAGTCATCCTCCCCCACGACCAGGCCGGGGTAAACAGAGTCATTTTCCTGGACTCTGGATTGAAAACACACGAACACACATGAAAACACCCTTGTGTCTGGTCAGAGGATGAGGATGAGGGGATGCCTCCTGTTTCAGCCCACTGCAACGTCGAGCGCCCCGACAAAGCGGGCACACGATCCGCACCAGGCCGTGGGGAGTCTGCCGCCGCCGTTGCTCCGAGCGGGCCCAGCTGGTCAAGCAATCGCTGTGGTAGCCTTTCAGCACCGGGCGAGTGATCGATCAGAGTCAAGGATCACAGCCTTAGGGATCCGTTTTCGTACCGAACCGACCCGGTTCGGTACGACTGGACCCTGCAAACCTACAGTGTCGAACACATCACCGTACCTGAGGTTCGGTACGAGGTTCGGTACGACTGGATCCCTAGGGCAGGTCAGGTGCCGCTTCTCTGCGAGATCGGCTCCCGCGCGTCGGTCGCGGGGTGCGCGGGGTGCGCGGTTTTCGGGCCGCTGGCCGCTGGGAGTTCGGAGGCTTAAGTCTGAAACGTGGATCAGAGGTGTATAGCAAAAGAATCCAACCCTGACCCTCCAATGCAAGCACCTTATGAACTATACAAGGACCATCCGGGTGTCCAGAGACTATCCAAGAGAACAACAGGACACTAGACAGGATGGTCCAGGTATGTGTTTCTTTTTAATGGATGTATGGCACGAGGCACGCGGTTCGGCGGTTCTCGGGGTCCGGAGTCCAGTGGACCAAGGGATCTGGGCACGGATGGCGTGGATGGCGTGGATGGAACCCCAAAGGCTCCGTTCACAACCCTACTTCTGGTCCCTCAAAACCTGTCCCAGACGCTCACCAACCCCATTTTTCACTGCGGACTGCCGATCGCCGATCAGTTGAGGGGGATTTGGGTTCGTCCATGGCACCTAGTCCAGTCCCCTGAAGTCTGGGACCCTGGGAGGTGTTGTCACCCCCCATCCGACCCCTCCAGCAACGGAGTTCCGTGGGGGGAACCGTCCGGGGGACCTCGGGTCGCTTCCGGTGGGCCGTAGACCGTGTGAAGCCATCACCCTCAAAGATAAAACTTTGCCGGCTATGGGTCTACCCAACACCAAAAAACATCTATTATATATATATATATAATTAAGGTTTTCCGGTTTTCTGTCTGGTGTTGGTTTCCTGTCAATGCTGGAGTAATGCTCTCATGTTCGGCTGCTTTTTGCCCCATGTGTTTCAGGGGGGCTGATTCGGTCTCGCTTTTTGGCCGGAGCGAGTCTTGATGAAGACATGTTGTCAGTTCTCCATATAGCTGACGGGTGCTTCGCAGGGAATGAAGGAATGATCCTCCACTACAGTATATAACCCTAGGGATCCAGTCGTAGCCTCCTGAGAAGGTACTTGGATTCCTAGGGTAATACCTTAGGAACCATTCCCCCATTCTCTACTAAGCACGAGTCAGCATGATGCTCTACCCCTTGGGCCGGAAAGCGGGGGCCGGTGCCCACAAGCTCGAGAGGCCGGGAGGCCCGGGAGGCCATGGGCACATGGGAGCCCTCTTGCAACTAACAGGGCCCCACAAACCATCAAAGACCTTGTTTTCCTTAGCTAAGAAACATGGTGTTTGTATGAAAACCTCTATGTTTCATGGGCTTGAGGATGTTTGAGGGCCACTGGTATGTAGAGTCAAAGTACATCCAAGATGAATAGCTGTACAAGCCATGTCAATTCTGATCTATGATGAACTAGGCCATCACCACCTTATTATTTCCTCAGAATCTCATCAGAATTTCTCGTGAAACATCCTGCGAAGCTACGACTTCATCTCTTAACAGCTCATCCTTTTCTCTACATATGCTCTAAATGAACAAATCCTAGCAAGTCCTATAGCTCCGCAATCACCTCATGTTCTCGAACAAACACGCGGGGCAACATCGTTTCCCAAGTCTTTCGAAGGCGCAATGCTTGCATTTTAACTGCTTGGCAGATGCGACGTCGAAGCCCTCTAAGCACACCGAGCAAACGTCGCCCTCGCCCGGCTGAGCCTCCGTCGACATCGGTCGACCGTCTGGGTGGCGTGGGTTTGGGGGGACAGTCCTGGACGGTCCGGGTGGGTCTGGGTGGGTGTTTCTCCTCTTTTTTCCAAACACGACCTCTCAGTCTGACATGTTGTCATCTGGGTCAGTGCTTGGTTGAACACATAAAGGTTCCAGGGAGTCGGGCCAGCGTAGAGTCCAGTCTCACGGAGTCATGTTGCTTCCTTTGGGCTTTTCTTCAAACACACCGGTCACCACATCACACGTCACACTCCGGTCGTCCTGCTTTTTGCGTTCCTCGTTCCACACCGGGATAAGCCGGGAGGTCCGCAGTGTTCCAAATGATTCCAGAGGCAACCCTGGACCCGAACCAACTGCTACATGTTGGTGTGGTCCAAAACCCTAGCTAAACTGCGGGTCAAAGAGTCAAACTGAGGGTCCTTTCTGAGCCTTTGTTTCAGCACATCTAGTCATCCTGGATGTATACAGGGACATTCAAGAATAGTCAAGCCAACGGGACACCGGTCATGTTGTTGCAGGTGTATATTCTATCAGACCTTCACCGGTCGACGCGGCGGATTTTTCGACCCGAATGGCTGGGGTCGGACGGGGTCGAAGCAAGGGACCCGGTTTTGAGGGACCGGTCAAGCGAACGTTGGAGCGTTGGCCCTCGAGGTATTGATGGAAGCGGTTCGAGCTCAAGGGCCGGTGATGTGCATGAAGTCTTGGACAAGACCCATCTCCGACTCCTGATGGAGTGTTCAGTCATGCCGAAGGGCAAGTTGGCAGCTTTATAACATAGTGTCTAAATCATCTACTTCGTGCTGGCAAAATAGAGCAGCCAGCACTTCCGGGGCGTTGATAGACAGGACTTTTTGAGGGCAAAGCCATTGGGGAACATGAGAGATCTTGAATCCAACCCTCCTCAAACACTGTGTGTCATTTAGGACAACAACATTTCAGAGGAACACCAAATATCGACCGATCAAAAAACGTTCGCCCCATGAAGGACCATCCAACGGCAAAAACCGGCAAACGCTGCAGTCACGTTCTCATCGCTGCAAATCCGACCCGTCTACAATGAATTCCATCCTACATTGCTGGGCCCCACAAGGTGCAAAGTATTCACTGCCCTCTCCACGGCCGGGGGGGGCGAAACAAGACACGTCCATCTCCAAGCCTCTGGCAACTCTCTTTCGATGGCCGCCTTCAGATCCTCCGGCTCCGGCTTCTGAAGCAAGTAGGAGTGAGGCAACAAGAAGGCACTGAAGACCTGAAAACTGGCCGAAAAAAGGGGATCTATATAAGTGGTTGATGGGCCAGGTGTGGAACAGAATAAAAGTATCTAATCATCATAGGCCCCTCTGGAAGGTGAGGATCTACTGTAACTCTCAAATTGTTGCAGAGTGGTAACCACATGTAAACACTGAGGTTGCTGGCAGGCTGGCACGGCATGTTTTCCATCAAACAGTTTCTCCACACGTGCGCATTTGTGCTGGGTATTGATGGCTCTGTCTTGTGCAAAAAGAAAGATGGTGGGGCAGAAAGATGGTGCGTTCTCCTCTTGCTCCTTTAGCTGGATTTCGTCACGTGTTCCAGGGCCTTTGGAACACAAAGACCATCAAAGACCTCACGAGATACATGTAGATTCTTGATTAATGAATGAAGCACCATGAAGCACCCTCATTGGGACGGAAAGATCTCTTCATATGGTGGGTTAGCGTATATCAAGATTCTACATTAAGTGAACTCTGCCAGCTATATATATATATACTCTTGAGTGTCCCAAAGACCCCCAAGACAGCTGTCTTTGGTGGGACGATTCTTGTTCCACCAACTAAATCGATCCTTGGATCAGCTAGACACTGTATTTGGGCAAATAGTAGCGGCTAGCGGTGTCTTTTTTCTGGAAAGGCAAGTATTTCTGTTTGGAAGATCCAGGTCTATCATATCTAAATACTAAAATTACTAAAATATGTTAAAATTTATACAGGATTACATACGGCAGTATTATATATTTTAATATGAAGGTAGGAGAGTCTAGCAATCACACTGTTCCTTAGGTCACTGGTGGTGCTAGCTGCTAGGGTGCTTAGCTGTGAACTCGTGGCAAAACCTGGTTTTATGCGACAAACAACTCCTAGAATCATGCCCTGCATGTCGAGGTCAGCAAACGATGGGCTGTTGGGAAGAAAGGCATGCCCTTGATGTCCAGAAGTTCAAACCAAGTCATGCAGCATCATGCAGCTCTTGGGTTTCATCCACGCTTCATTCATGGTGTTTTATGAAACAGGACGTATGAAACAGGACGGAACATGCTTGCACTCAACGTCTCATCCCTGGAAGACAGGATCCAGCAAAATGCTTCGAACATCTTCGAACCACCCTCCCCGAGGAGGAAATTCCCTAAACAACGAGATTTCGAGTCAACCCCCAAAGAGCTCCACAAATGTCTTCAACCACAGAAAAGCAACGGAAGATCTGAAATCTGTTCCACCCAAAAGCATCGCACCAAAAAGGAAAAACACGCAAAACAATTATACATAGTATATTATCAAAAAAAAACAATAATAATAGTATAAATAGACAAAAGGCGGGTGCATAGCTTCTGTTTCCAGCACCGTCCCGATTGAAATCCAGTCAAACCCTCCTCCGCTCGCCGCTCCGACAAGTGTAGAGACCCCATGACGGAGAATTCACCAACATTCGAACAGTCGACTAATAGTCTAGAAAACAAGCGTGATGACTCCGAAAGTGATCGAAACCAACATTTTCCACATACACGACTGTAACATCGATTAAAATGTTCGAGACTAACACAATGACTCTGACTGTTGAGCTCTCTCTCTCTCTCTCTCTGTCCTCCCGCCGAGGCTCGGCGGCGCCGAGCACCGCGAAGACGCCGGCAATGATCCATCCCGTGAGGGTCCAAAATTCCATCGGTGTTTTAAAGAAAGGTGAAGGCCAAGGCCGCCATGGGTGTCACGCAGTTCGTGCACTTTCGTCGCACGACATCATTCGGCGGGCGCACATCTGAAGGCCAAGTGGCGGAGGATGGCGGAGGTGCAAAGTGCAAAGGAAATTGAAGGGAGAGGAGAGGGAAGAAAGGCAGAAAAAGACCGCAAGGTCCCTGGAGTGGCCAAAATATTTGGAGAATTCGGTGTTGTCCATGTGGTGGGGACTCAACGAGCAGTCTCCGATTGCGACTGTCCGATGGCAACAGCGATCTGCCGAAGGTGGCCGATCTATTTGGATGTGTTCTTAGTCAAAACAGGATGACCACGGTGGGCACTAGCCGGGCTGCGAAGTACCAGTACCATGTAACCTCAGCTGCTTAGCTAGCTGCTATGTGGCTATTGGTTCTGCACCTAAAGAGTGTTTATTTTTCTTAAGCGGAAGCCAAGTTCATCCAAGTTCCAATCTCTGCCGTAGGATTGATCTGGGAGGAGAGTCACGAAAAATATTGGGCAGAACAAGGGTTTTCAGCGGATTCAGAGCCGGTTTCTATACATTGTCCACATTTGTCCATCTTCTGTGCCACGCTGTGCCCAGCGACTGAGGTCCAGAGCACACGCACACTGAGAAGAGAAGAGGTCGCGCATCACCCCAATACCACGTACACCGGGCACCGCGTTCATCCACCACGCGCGCATGGGGCGGCCGTGGCAGCCGCCAGAGTCGGCTTCCAGGGTTCCGGACTCGCCCTCCGGTGGATCCTCCACGGGCTCCTCTTCCTTTGCCACCTCCAAGGAGGTACCTAGGTTGGAGGCCATCGCGATTACCCTCGCTACTGGAGGCCATCGCTTTTAGGTTGGAGGCCATGGCTATTAGGATGGAGGCCATCGCTATGAGGCAGGAGGAGCGCTTCGGACAATTTTGTGGTGTTGGGGTACACGATCGAAGGGTCGTTTCGGCGAAAATATGAAAAAGCTGAGCCCGTTCTCTTCCAGGTTGGTTGAGAACTTGGATCCAAGTTGAAACCGGCTTGGATCGGGGTAGGTGGCACTTCTTGGCCGCCAGGGTGAGGCTGTTTGACCATTTTGGAACACATTCTTTGGCCACAATGGACGCACCAAGACCCACAGAACCTGTCCCTAATGATATCTGCTCTCTCCAAGGCGCTGCCGATGCCGGTCAAGGGCTTCTCGCCGCTCAGCTCCAGCAAACGCACCGCCTCCTGGGCAGGCCAAGGGTGACGAGCCATGAAGAAGGATTTGCAGGAAGGAACTACACTCCCTGGAACTAACATGGAAGTGGAGAATGGCCCCTTGGAAGGCATTTTCCACTACAAACAGGTGGTTTTCCACTTCCATTTTAATTCCAGGGAGAGTAGCAGGAAGAAATCCCAGATGAGGAACTAGCAGGAAGGGGGTTCACACTGGGTTCGGGAAAAGAAATCAAGCGCCCGGCGTGGGAAATGGCTGCTCGAAGTTCCGCTGGTCAGCATATATTGTGAACTGCTGAGAGATCCTACAGCCCCTCTGATATCACAGAAATAGAACACAGCATGATGTGGATGTACGATGGAAAACTATGCACATGTAAAACTTCCATCAGGTGGATATGCACATTGTTGCGCTATGTAAGCGAACTGACTCTAATTTTCTTGTTGGGCACATCCAACAACAAAGCCGCCTGAGTCTTGTGCTTTCAAAAAACGGGCATCAATCATGAAGAAAATCCGAGTGGTCAAAGCTGAGTCTCCACTTTAAACCCTAAACCCTCAAATAGTGAAGTCCTGGGTTTCGGGATGTTTCTTCGGTTTAGTCGTTAAAACCGGGGGCCGTCTTTCTACCGGTCGTTCCCCGGTCTGCCATGAACAAGCCGGGAACGTCCAAGCCGGGAGGGTGGCAAGGTACTGGGTCCCATCCCTGTTCGGAGCAACCCCTGGGCCACCATTAAGATGGGATTCCTGGGGAGAGACCTAGGACCGATTTGATGGGTGTTGTTTACATACATGTTTGTTTAAACCAAACAACCCCTTGTCTTACGAAGAATTCTACACTACAAAGCACCTGAGCTGAGCTCTCTTTTTTTCGGCAGGCGAAAATGAAAAAAGACACACATCACCCACCATGTCGCTTCTTTTCGACTCAGAACGAAGGTGCACGACGGATCGGCAGGTGGTGGCGCCTCTGGTGTTGGAGCCGTGAGTGGAGCGAACCTGCGAGGCGTCGGAGCAGAGGTGCCGGGCTGGGAATCGCACCCCCCCAGGGCAATCAAACAGTCAGACAGCAAGCTGACAACTCAGGTTTCCCATGAAGAATAGAGGTGTAAAACATACCAAAACGTGTGGCTAAGGAATACTAGGTCTTTGATGGTCTATGGGGGTACATTGACAATCGTTGGAACAAATAGGGTTAGAAAGGGTCAACGACCAGCAACCCGACTCTACAGGTCACCAATTGAGACCTCTTCAGGCCTAGCAACCCTCCAAGACCTATTGGAGGGTGCTGCGGTGCTGGTATTTGGTTTCTCATGTCCCAAAAAGATCTGAACACTTCTACCACCAAGCCAAACACTAAGATGCAGCGACTATTGCAATGCTGGAATTCAGGTACTGGAATTCCAGGTATTCTCTGAATTCCTCCAGTATTAGTGTCTCATCAAACCAAACAGGAATGCCTGGATCTGATCTATCTCACCTTCTAAGATTCTAAAAGCTGTGGACACATTCCCACCAAATCTTAAAAACAGAGACAACTCACTTCTGAGAGCTGGAAGGTTCCTTCCTCTGCTTCCTCTGCGCTGGGCGTTTTCTCATCGGACACATTTCTTGAGAGTCTCGCCATGTCTCGCCACACCACGAGTCGCATGCCAGGCACCGCAATAAGACTTTGCACCAACTCTCGAGACAGCAACTCGCGCGTCTCGGGGCCCCAAACTGGAAATCCTTCCCGGCGAAGAAGAAGTGTTTCCTCGGACATGTCGAAGACTCACGCGCAGTTCGCGAATCCGCGCGCGGGTCTTGGGGAGGGTGGCTTGTCACGATCCATCGACCCCGTCTCAAAAAAACATGTCGGAAGCTGCGGAAGTCCACGTTGTTCTTCCAAAAATGAAAGCGACAGTGTGTTTGAACACGTGCGTCTTATAGGCGCCCAGCGCGCAACGATGGGTTGCAGAATGCATCTTTACAACGCAATTGTGTTTGCTCTTTAAATCATCCTGCCAGGAGTCACAAAGGGGGGCCTAGCTTGGAGGATAGGGGTGCCCAGAACATCCACTCACTTAGAGACTAAAGGCTTGTGACTCCTGGTGGATACATATTATCATCATCCATCGGTGCAGTTACTGTTATGGAAATTAGCATCCGGCAAAGGTGCCAGCTGTTTCAGATGTTCAAACAGGAAGATGTTGCCCGATGCATGTTTCATCATGTTTCCTAGGCCACGTGGAAACATGACAGCTCGAGAGACGAATCCTTTTCACCTCACAGATCTTCGACTGTCAAAAGCATTGGTGCCAATATATCCGGATGCGTTTTTGCTCTCACCCAAAATGCATTCGGGCCCCTGCCTTGCCCACTAAGCCGGGAATCCTTCAGGAAGGCTGCGCTCTGGAAAAGCTTCGCAGAGCGCAGCCTTCCTGAAGGATTCCCGGCTTAGTGGGCAAGACAGGGGCCCAATTGCCTTTGCTTTAGAGAAGGCAAGCATCCGGATAGCATCCGGATATATTTGCACCACAAACGCTTTTGACAGCCGGCCAAAGCAAAATGACAGCCAGAGTTCCATATGGCCTGCTCCTTCCAAGGCACTTGCCTTTTGTGCAGTAAGGGGTTCTCCCATTTTGGAGACTGTGGGACAATCGCAGGCAACCCTGGATGCATGTCCAACAAAATCAAGCATCTACAAACTATACAGACTGGAAAGATCGGAGATGAACCCTTGAAACCCTAAATGCCAACTATCCAATGCAAGTAGACAGAATAAATAAAAGCATCTAGAGGCAACTGTTTCCACAAACAAACCCATTCCTGCAAAATGCACTGGATTGCATTGGTATATGTTGCCGCAACGGAGTTGCGCAACGTCAGATGCCAGTTGCACAACGTGAGTTCCCGACAGGAATCAAGCGGGGGTGTGTTTGGTAGCTTTGGAAAATAAGTAAAGTCGACCTTCTCTTGTCTGGAGACATCATGGTTTCTGAGGTAAGACCACTTGGCTCAGTGTGTGCATCGTGGCCCTTTCAAGCGCCAACTTGGTCCAGCTGGTTGGCGGTGGCAATACTTTAACCCTGTGGCCACAGAACATTCCTGTCTCAAAGGCTTGTTTTGGATGAAGCTCCTGAAAGCCGACTTGGGTTCCCCGAAAGCTCCAAACAGTGCTGAGGTCCTCTTTTCCAACGCACACCCGGCAGGCCTCCACAGACCGCCATATCCACCAACGCGGGCAGATCTGCCGCAAACCGCGCCACACAGATGCAGCAGAGACCAGGCCAAGGGGCGTGGGAAACTCAAAGTTCCCAGCCGCTAGTCCATACGCCTTGGGTTGGCGAAAAGCTTGACCGTTTGTAGGCCACCCTGGATGGCACCCTGGAAGATCAAGACAGTGACTATAGTGACTAAGGTTGCCAGGAGTTCAGGAAAAATCCTGAGTTATCATCTACGTAGATGACACAACATACCTCCTGTCTGACACAAAACCCCAACCCGAAAGATCAAACTAATACCTAACAAATCCAAAACGAATCCTATTTAACAATATATAACATCAAGCACCTCAACCACCGGTGTTTCTGCCCCAAACCCTTCCCAAACCAGTCCCTGCTGTCGAGCGAAATGCCGTTCCTTCCGACAACGAACTGCCACTGAGGCGCCACGTAGTAGTCCGCCGTGAGGCCGAAGATCTGCCGGTCGCTCCGCCACGGGACCGGACGATCTGAGGGGTGGCCCCGGAGTCCCAGAACACGACCTGTCTGGGACTGCCAGGTCTTCCACTGCCGAGAAACGGCCAGGGGTGGGCGAGGGGGTCAATTGATCGGCAGTCCGGACTGGCAGTCCCAGACAGGTCGTGTCTGGGTCAGAATCTGGGCCCCTTCCCCAACACATAGGGTTCGGGTCCGGACCCCTGCGAAGGATTGCAAAGGTGGAGGGCCCAACCCCAACCGGAGGGCGCAAGGATTCTTAGGCGAAACAAGGAAGCATGAGGAACAAAGGAAGTGAACCGAGGAAGTGATCTATTTTTTTGGAATAGCCTAGCTGTACTCCTAACTGTATAGCTGGATTGCGAAGTGAACTAGTGAACTTTGATCTGTTTTGAGACCTGTAGTTATTGGGGCAAAAGGTGTCCTCAACGAATGTGTTGTCCTTGAAGAAGCAAGCAAACAACGTTGCCACGTCCATGCTTCAGTTGGAGGGGACGTATCTTTGTCGATGACTCCCAACAACTTCTACAGTTTACAAATACATATTTGGGCCGATTAGGTTGGAGGCCATCGCCAATAGGTTGTTGGCCATCGCTATTAGAAACAAAGAAAATAAGACAACTAGGAAGAAAACAAGCTAATATGGATGGCCATAAGTGAAAGGTCTGATTAGGAAGGTCTAATATATAGTTATCTTTATGGAGAACATCCCAGGCTCTGATGCTCTGAACATCGAATGACCACCGAATGGCGAGAACCAGCTGCTTCGATCCGACTGACCCGACTGACCGTCCTGCTTGCGGAGCCCCAGTCGTCCTTTGAAGTGTCCTTTTGTTCTTTCAACGGATTCCAACAACCCGACCAAGCCATTGGAAGACCGAGAGAGAGAAGAATCCACTAACGATGAGGGTTCTGTGGCTTTCTTGAAGATCTCATGTCTTCAGTGAAACGAAAGTGGGGTTCCGAGAATGTTTTTTTTTTCCGCGGGGAGAACAACCACGCAAAGTTACATGCAAAAGATTCAAGAGGCACAGCAAACATCTTGAAAGACGCGAGATTCTACAGGCAAACCATCTTCATGGCATCTGTCCCGTTTCACTGTTCAGTATTCGCTGAGACCCCAGTTGTACGAGTCGAGGGTGATGTATTTGATTGACTTACACCCCTGGTTCTTCCAAGTGACCGTTGGAGAATACCTTTTAAGATCTTTTGAGGTCACTTGGGACCCTCGAAAGGGTCACTTTGGGCAAAGATTACTTTGCAAAAGCTGGCCCACACTCTTTTTGGGGTTCCAGCCGCCCATATTGAGTTCCGGCAGTCGTGGCGCGGCAAGCCCTTCTCTTTCGAACGACTCCATGAACACACCAACCATCTTGTGGCGACCCTCATCTTGCGGCGCACCTTCCCCCAGAAGCAGACCTGTTGGAACTTCTCCTGGCGACGGATGACGTGTCAAAACGAAGTCCAAAAATGCTCATCATGAGGCCTTGCAGTGCACTGCCCATATCCATGTATGGCATATCCATACATTGGGGATCATTGGGGTGGTTTCAGTGTATGGGCTCGTAGCCAAAAAGAGCAACCACTGAATACCACTGAAGACCTGGAAACTCACAACCACTGAATACCACTGAACTCTGTCCCTACAGGCGAGCTTGACCTCATGAAATACTGGAGTTGGTCGTACGCCCCATGGATCCACATACAATCTGAGAAGGTGATTGGGGGCACGACCAACTGTAGGTGCCAGGAGGGTCCGCTCGTACCTTCTGAGAAGGCATGCGGATCCCTATAGGAACAAAAGCACTACGAAAAAGGGTTTTTGAAAGACCCTGGACCCTCCAAAGTACCTTAGAAAATGGGACATGACCCCATAAAAACAGGTACTTGTATATATACAAATGTTCCGAGGTATACTTTGAGACTCCAGGTATTTGAAAGACCCTGGTTCCAGGTCAGACTGGACTTGCAGGGCCTCATTGTAGGGTATAGAGCTCTTCCATCACCCCCTACGTAAGCCCTCACGTCGGACTGGTGTGAGCCGGACTCAGAGGCCATCCGCTCGACTCAGCAATTGGCGGTAAGACCGACAGCATCGAAAGCTCGACAGTGCAGTCGGACTGCTGAACTGGTGAAGATCTCCACAACCCCTGCAAAGACCCACATTCCCTAGGGCCCTAGGGCTCCAGGTGGTTAGAGGTTAGCCCCGGCAAATCCACCCCAACCATGTTCTCAGGAGATAACCCAGGGATTTACCCTGATGTGACCGTGGCTCAAAAACCGGTCTACCTTAGTTGACCCACCAAAGTCTCGCTTGCGGACTCTGTCTAAAGTAAGCCAAGCGCTTTCCAAGACCCTTCAGCTCAGGCTGGCTAGATCGTGGAGTCTTTCGGTACCGTTCTTTTGTTGACCTAGCAGGTGTCGTTCCTCGTGAAGCTGGTCGTATTTGGTGGACCTCAACTGGTCGGGCTGCTCGGCTCAGTCGCTTTGGATCCCCCGCGGGACTGACGATCGGTTTGTCGCGCGCGCGCGCGCGCGACAGTCAGACGATCAGAAGCGAATCACTTGTTTGAGGATAGACTATATAATCAGACCTGTTGGGCAAATCTTGCTGAGCTGGATAGACCTCCAAAGAATCTACCACTCCTGGGATTTCTACCAAAGACTTGGAGATCTTGGAGTGTCTTGCAAAACAATCTCCTCAACCCACCCAGAAAGCCCCGATTCGCACCCCCCTCTTACGCTCGCCCCGTGAAACCGCATCCACGTCCTGCGCCTTCATCAGCGCCAGCCTTGGGTGGTCGGGACACAAGTCCCGTGGTGGAACATGGTTCACCAATGGTGGAACAGCCTCAGAAAAGAACCTGTCTCAGTTTCCTGTTGTTGATCCTTCTTCACTCGGCTTGGACCATTAAGTTGGCGACCCTGTAGCAGTTGGCGACCCTGTCAAGAATCGATTGGGCTCCCTCTGAACCACGATCGAAGTCATCCACTGCAACCGGTTGACCCGTCGACGCAAGGTTCATCCCGAGTCTCTAGGTTTTGAGGGACAGGTCGGGCTGTTTAGAGCGTCTGGGTCCCCAGAGACTTCGACGGAATTTTAACTCGAGCATCAAGCATCAAGCGTAGAAATCACTGGACCCCCACTGAATCCCCGCTCTCTTCGAGAAGAGAACGTCAATATTTATAGTATTTATCATGAATTTTAACGGCAACCTTTGAATCTTGAAGCGTGTAAGAACAGGTCAAACGATCAAACGATTTGGTGGTCTGGATGTTTCCCCTCCCACTCAGATTAGATCAAGTAAGCATTAGTGGAACATGATCTTCTACCCAAATGGCTCATGAACCCTAAACAAAACTGCTATGTTGAGTTCCGGTCCGCCAAACACCCTCGATGCTCTCAGGGGTCGGTCCCTGCTTTCTTTCGCCTTTCACTCGCTGCCTGCCTCGCGTGGCTCGAAACTCTCGGCTCCGGGCCCTGCTTTCAAGGCCGAAATCTCCTGCAGGTTGACGTGACGAGACCGTCGACGACGCAGACGATGACGAATTGGGACCAAAATCCGTGAGTTCTGCCGAACGGAACGGGAACGATGCTTGGGGCAACGAACAAAGGATCTTGGCGTTGAAAGGAAGTGTCAAGCTCCGGAATCAAGCCTCGGAAGTCCCAAAACGAACATGGGAAGTTTCTACAGGATTGAATTCATTCATCCCAGTCAGGGTGCCAATCAAAGGGATACTATTCACCTACTGAACCACATATATGCCACAATTGATATACATAGATTCTCATAGGAAAAATTGGACAACATGGGAAAAATAGAAAAACATAGAAAAATATAGATATCTTTTCCACACCTCAACTGCCCTCAATCACACACAAAGCGCACTTTCCACCACTCACTTCCTGGTATATACAGTCTTTGGTGGTAGCTCTGCTATCAAAGGCTTGATCCTGTTGATCACTGAATCTGGTATTTCACCAGGTTCCTGCCCCACCACTCCTGGCAAATGCAGTGACTCCACATCCAAAGCCATGGACCATTTGGTCCAAGCCCAATGGTGGCAAAGCTTGAGTTTCTCACTCCAGTCTTCAAAATTTGTGCAATCAAAGGACTTGGAGAAGCTGAATTGTGAATAAGGTCCATACCAGTGTGCACTAGGACCACCAGTGATCTTCCTTTGGTAGGTCACTGTGAACCTATGGTCCTTATGGTTGAGGACAAATCTGAAGCCAGGTCCCTCCAGCTCACCAAAAACACCAGGAGTTGAATGAAGTTTGGGCCCTGAAGCTCTGCTTCCAGACACCTTGCTTGGATCAGCAAAGCACAAAACTCATAACAAAAAGGACAAAACAGTTCACCAATATTATGTCAAAACCCTGCCAGGTACTTTCACAAATCCCAGACACTGCCACATCATGCACAGGTTGTGAAGGTTCTGCTCCCTCTGGTGCTCTTGCTTCTGGAATTGGAGCCTCTGGTGCTCTTGCTTCTGAACTTGCAGCCTGTGATTCTGCAATTGCAATCTGTGGCTCTGCTGCTGCTTCTGCAATTGGAACCTGTGGTTCTTCTGCTGTTGCTTCTGCATTTGGCACTTGTGGTTCTGCTGCTTCTGCAATGATTGGAACCTGTGGTTCAGGTTCTGCTGCTGTTGCTTCTGCATTTGGAACCTGTTCTGGTGCTTCTGCAATG